GAACACCGACATACAACAGTGAGGATTCGCTGGTGGTCACCCACCCAACTACTAACTCACCGGCGTGTGGCTTAAGTACGGCTGAGCGGACGGGAAGCCCTGTTTTCCACACCCTATGGTCGTATGTACTGCACTAGGCATTTAAGTGGCATATATAGGAAAAGGCGATCTGTAGAATCCAAAATAATGTATACCCCCAGTGTCGTGGGTATCGCCCGGGTGAGAAATGGGTGAGCGCCGCTTTACGGTCGCGCGACCGGGGGTGATAAGGGTGAGTGCGCTATAGATAGGGTGAGAAGCTGGGTGAGAAGTGGGTGAGAATCACCCTAGGTAGCGTGACGCCTGGCACTGACCTCCTCAAGTGACACGGAGTGCGATATGATTGGATTATAAGCTGAACCTGAAACGTTTCGCCCCTTGACATCTACATACAGCCCTAAAATGAGATATATCCTCAGTTCCATTCGTTGTTGTGGCTTTGTTGCCTTAGAGACTCGCTACAGCCCTTCTCATATGTCCATGCTAACACATACACCCCAGTGTAAACAGCATATATCAATCAAACCAATCAAACCAATCAAATAAGCGAAACACCCTCTTATAGTCCGAGCTTATCTTTATCATCACAAGGTGGACGTTGATTTTATAATGGATATAGCCTTCAAACTATTTTCTCTTTTTGTCGAATACTTAGTCAAAACGTATTGTGAACAATTGCTTTCCGGAGTAGAAACTTCAACAAGGGGAGTTGGATAGTGCGATAAACCAAACACTCCTCTTAGAGGCACCTAGCTGAAATAACGAGGGCTTCCTAAGAGTCCGACTAGGCAAGAGCCACTTAATGCCTTGTTGCTGGAACTCTGCTGGTGGCATCAGCTCTCCTCAGTCTACACAATACTAATCTTCCTTACGAATCAAACAATTTCGACCGTTGTTCAGCAATACCAGATCTCCCCCAAGCTCCCATAATCGTGGCACAGCCCACCACCACCTACCCGGTGTTGGTGGGTCCCACCAGATACCGGATTCCCACCAGATACCGGATTTTTCATTTTTATCAATTTCCTACCCATTTTACACCACCCCACGATGTCGGATCAAAATGAAAATGTCGAAATAAGAACTAGTAGGCCGTAGCTGCCTATAAGCAAAGCGTTAAACCCAATTTAACTAAATTGGCGTGGGAATTCGCGGTTCCCATCGATCGTCTACGCGGTCGCGTCAAAGGGCGCTAGCCTAATGCGACGCGTATTAACCCAGGCAAGGCATTAAATCTAATGCAAGAAAAAGCATTAGTATCCTGGATCCAAACACTACGGCATTCATATACTACAAATACCCTAGAGCTTATTGAGCGCTCTGCAAACTAGCTTTTAAAAGATGCTGGTTCCGATCGGCAGGTTGGCTATAACTGGGTATACCGTTTTATTAAGCGCCTACCCCCAGACATCCTATATATCAGCCTAAAACCTGCCGAAAAGGCTAGATTTGAGAGCGAGAACTATGGCGAATTGATGCTCTGGTTTAGTAACCTTAAAAAGGTTATAGACTAATACGAATTCCTACTAAATGATATCTTTAATTGGGATGAAACCGGCTACCAAATTGGCTAAGGAAAGCGCTAAAAGGTTGTTGCTCCTACCGGTGCATATGCAAATCCTACCGGTGGTAAAAACGAATCGATCACGGGTATTAAATGTATCGCTGCCGATGGTTGGGTGATGCTACTATGGTTCCTACCTAAGGGTAGTAACTAGATGGAAGAGTGGTATAAGAATATCACTATTCTAGACTTTCGAATTAAGCCTACGGAAAATGGTTGGATCAACGATGAAACTGCATTTGAATGGCTTTATTCTTTTTATAAAGCTTCAAAAAACCGGGTTTAAAAAGGCCGTCCGAGGCTGCTTATAGATAATCATGGATCTTATACTACTATTGAATTTACTACCTTTTGTAAGGAGAAATTTATTATCCCTTTTTTTTCTTTTTACCCTATATAACGCACCTCTGCTAACCACTTAATGGTCCAGCTTTTCAATGCCTAAAGCATTACTTTCGTACGGCGAATAACGAGGTTATTATATAGGGTGGAAGCGTTACTAGAAAGCGGGATTTTTTCAGGATGATCCACGATATTCGGAATAAAGCTTTTACTTAAAGAACGATCCGATCCTTATTTAGATCTAGGGGTATTTACCCTTTTGATCTAGAGGCTATTCTTACTCCTTTACGCCAAAAAGAATCTGAGGGTGTTCCTCTTCGCATTTTTACCCCTTCCCCCCCGCTAGATATCTCGAGCTTAGTCACCAATTCGCCGCCAGATACCATTACTCGAGTCAATAAGCTTAATACTAAGCTTATTAAGGATCTAGAAATCAAAACGAGTAAGTGAAATGGCATATCTAGCGAAGTATGGATGCAAATTCGCTTTTGTCCCAACAGCTCGATTTAGTGAAGGCATCTTTAAAGAAGTCTTAGTTCCACAAATAAGCCAAAGGTCAGCCGAGAAATAGGAAATCGATTCTTGGATCAAAAAGCTCAGTCCTTAGTCCTATATGCGCAAATAGGAAGATCGAGAAAAGGTATAAGGACGATTCTAAAAAGCGGCAACGCCAACAGGCAAGGCATACCGAGGAATTGGAAGTCGAAGCATAGGCTCAAAGAGCAAGGGATTTAGTTGAGACTGAACGTGAAGCTGCAATGGTAGCTAGGTATGGTAGTGGTCCAAATTGGTATATGGATAGTCGAGGTAGTTATTTGTAAATAGTGGTTTAAATGCATTTTTCATTGAAAATCCGGTATCTGGTGGGACCCACCAACACCGGGTAGTTAGTTAGGTGGTGGTGGGCTGTGCCACGATTATGTCACCGTTTTCAATGGAAATTAAAAGATACAAAATATGAATTTGTTGGATACTTTCCGTATGGTTAGTAGCGAAGTGCTCTTCATCTCCAACGTAGAGAAATTATATACTGGACTCACTAAATACCAAGAATATATTAGAATAAAGTAATTATTTCCTATGGGGAGGGTTATGCACTATTTTCTACCTGCAATACTTAACGCATTTAATCTCTCTACAATCCGCCGGGTCCTATTGTGATCTGGGGCCTAGGACCTTCTCTAGAGAGTTTCTCCACTAGATGAAAATTGATGAAATCCGATAGAAAGGTAAAGGATCAGGATGATAATGATATTCTTAAGAAGAGCTGCTCCTAATCTTGGGAAAACGGAGTCACTCTCCCTCCTTCCGCCTAGATTCGTTTCGTCGATAGGAAACTTTTCTTCCGCATGTAAAAGACCCTAATCTCTCCCTCCAATAGCTAGCAATAGAGTGTGTCTATCTCCTCCTAAGCAATGCTATCTTGATTCTCACTACAACCCAATGTCCACTAGAACAAGTCTCCTCTTAAACAGTCTTACACCGTCATACCATGTTGCTGCATAGGGACCCCCGAGTTGGAGCTCCTCTGGGGAGTGCGGAAGTCTTCAGGATGTACATATTTTGCCGTAATGATCCGCGAGTCTCTGATCTCTTGAGGCAAGAGGAATCCCCCTTTAAAGGAAGGGGAATCCTCTTTTTCATCGATCTCCACATGATCACTAGCCATTAGGGGTCCCTGGAAGTTCTGGAAGAGGAGTGCTCTGGCCGTCTCGTGCTGTAGCTCGCCTAAGCATAAGACACTGCCTGATGCTCGTTGAACGCTATCAGTATCTCTAACTGTCCTCCATAACAAAGCTGTAGCATGGGCCCGTGTCCTTTCCTCCCAGCTGTACTGGGTCCCATGGACGATACACTGCTGGGCCTGTGTTGCTACCCCGTGGCCTTGGTAGGTGTACCAGCTTCCCGTTCCGACATTGTAGCGGTGCACGAAGACCGGCCGGCCTTGAAGCGCCTCTTCATACGGACCCCATTCTGTCACACGGGGGGTGTTCGGGGGATTCGTCAGCTGGGGGAGTTTCGGTCCGGTGACCAAACTTAGATCGTGTTGAAATCCATATGGATATGGAATAAGGCGGTGTCTTGACAATCGGTCGTACGTGACTGTAATAGTGCCGATCTGGTGAGGTTAGTGTTGCTTACATTTTGCATCCTGCCCGCCCGAAGGAAGAATTATACATACACAGGTATTTGTTCCGCCTAACCATACTTCTTTGTCAAGCGGTGAGTTTGCAAACCGTTTCGAGTGGATAATGCCGGCCTGTGGGGCCTGTCTCGGCGGTGGTCGCATCCGCTTGAGGAATTCTTTCGCGGCTAAGATATGGTCCATGAGACGTTTTCTTCTGTTTGACATTCTGGGATCGGCAAGACGCACAAATGCATGTGTCACTGTCGTTATTGCCTCCAGGCCACCTGGGAGCCGTAATCGTAGGCCCAGTGCCGCCTGCTGGTCGAAGTCTCCTGGCATATCGCTGACGCCTCGACCAGACTCGACGATTTCAGCTGTGCCATGTAACGATGCTAGAATATACCCGACACGTAAACCACCGACCTCGTCTGGGGCACCCTTGGCCCAGCATGCCTCTAGTGATTTCTTCTCCGGAAACACAACTAACAGCCAACCAGTTAGAAGTACTTGTGCGCCTACGGAACCAGGGAAGGCATCACGAATTGATTTGATATGCTGGGGCGGCAGAAAAGTCCGGGGGTCTATAGTCTTGATAGTCGTATAACGCACCGGCACCCCTGCAAGTGAAAGAGGTGGAACAAAGTGTTTCGGCAGGACGTGTATTTCCCTGCCGGCGGCATGTGTGCTTTTGATGTTCTTCGCACTACTAGCACTAACGAGCCATAGGGGTGTCTCTACCGGACCATGTTCAATAACGGAAACCTGTTCGCAACTCGCTAATGAAGGGTGCAGTGACCGAACCATTGTTTCTTCATTGGGAGTTTCGATACTCGTCATAAAGGAGACTTTGGCCCGAAGGCCCGGTGTGTTGATATGAGGTGTCGGTTTCACTTGGCGGACTAATGCGGAGATAACGGGGACATCTTTGGACGGGGCGGAGGCAGATGAGCTGGCGTCGACATCCTGGGGAACTCGAGCCGGAGTGGGTCCGCCTGGAAAGCTCATAGGGATTGCCATTCCTTTGCTGTTTGTGCTGCCTTCTGCTGGAAAACTTTCGGAGGCGGGGAGAGGTGGCTGCGTGTGAACCGAAGTAGTCTGGCGAATGAGCAAAGCGGACCAAATATTACAGAGAAAAAAGTCACGTACCATGGTATAGGAGCTTTGGGATTCGAGGTATACAGGTATCGGGCGTAAGGGTCAAGATTAAGCTAGTCAATCAGAAGTGCTGATCCACGTCGACGAAGTATGAAGTCAAATCTGACGAGAATCAACAGGAGGATCAGCCGGAGGATCGGTCCGAGGCCGAAATTCAAAGCTTGGAACAACACGGATGAGAGCTGTAGATATGGCCTGAAGAAGGTAGAAATGCATCTTCAACCAGGTTACACATTTAGTACATGGAATTGTCGCTAAAGAGGATCTCAACTAGACGACAACTAGATGAAATTCGACGGATGAAGATGAGATAAATGGAGTGTGGGGAGAAGAAACTAAGTGGGGCCCGGCGGCCCCGCTGTCCCATATTTAGAAGGCGGTCATCAGAGGCAGAATGGTGGGGTGTTCAGAAAGAACACCTCCCCGAGTTAATATTCCTAAAGCAAGCATGCATCCAATGAATATCCTTTTGGCCTTCGGGCCCCACTCTTTTATGTTTTCATCGTCGCACTGGGGTGGACTAGGTGTTATAAGCGGAGACGGAGCGGAGGTTAGACCATGTTCGATTACTGAAACGTGTTCGCAACTTTCTACGAAAGGGTGTACTGATCGAACCATCGTCCCTTTATCGCGGGTTCTGATACCCGTTATAAAGGAAAATTTGGCCTAAAGGCCTGGCCTATCGATATGGGTGTCGGTTTGACTTAGCGGACTACTACGAAGATGATAGGGATATTATTGGACATGACATATACGTTCTAAGGCCGAAAGAGCTAAAATTCCGGTTATTAGCTTTTTTTCAAAACCCGCGATATTATATAAAGAGGACAAGAAATTACCATATGTTACGTGTTAGGTCTCTTAAAACAAAAGAGGGCATTAATTCAAAATGCTAAAGATAGGAAGGAAGAGCGAGAAAGAAAGGAAATAAGATCTAGATTAGCTCCGAGAGCTAATATATCTATGATCTATATAAATAATATAAACTCTTTAGCCTACCAGTGCTCGCTGGTGCATCTCCTCTACCTCCTTCTGCTTGCCCTGATCAGAGTAGAGATTCCTAAGGTTATTGACTGTATCGAGAGTAGAAGTATAGCTAGGCCTTGACAAGTGCAGCGGTACCGGTGCAACGGTACTAGTGCAACGGCTGCACCAAGGCCTTAGTTCGGTGCAGTGGTACGTGGGGCCGACTGCACCAAGGGCGAGGTTCGGTGTAGCGGCACT